AATCATTCATCATATATCAAGATTCAGAGAGGTGTGCGCCAAGGTTGTATTTTATCACCTTTGCTATTTAACTTGTATGCCGATGCTATATTTTCAGAATTTAATAAATAATACCAGATTGAAGTACGTTCAATTATCCCTATTAGACCTAACGTTAGAAAAGTGCACACGTTTCTGAAAATACTTTGAAACGTTATAATCCTTTTATTTTAATATAACACATTTATAAATAGTACTTATAAACCTACGAATAAATAAAATTATGCACGACTTAGCGCCTATGTAACCTACCTAATAACAGAGGAATATTTTAACAATAACTAATCTACATGAGGTTTTTTTACAGATAATGGAGGCAGAACGAATAGAAGAGGAGAGTATCAGAGTCAATCAAGCAAACATAGCGATGCAAATTGAAGAGGCGCAGAAATTGAAGGAAAAACACGGTCGGCAGGCTAAATTGAAAGAAATTCTTGACCAAGGTATAATGTGTTATCCTGAACTAATTATAAGTGTTAATTTAATAAGATTGTCTATTTAAAACATATGTAGCTAAAGTAATAGAAGATACTACTTAATTAAAACTTTTCAAAAACTAATTTAAAAAAACACGTGATAAACACTTATTTTAAATATATTCCAAGGGCGTTTTCGAATCCATAATATTATTGTCTTTGGGAGAATAGTAAAACGAACGAACGAATTTACGAAAGTACCTAATGTTGAAAGAAGGAGATTATATCCCAGAATAGCCAGTTTTTTAATTTTTTAACATCATAAATAGATTCTAACGCAAATGTTAAAAACGCGATTACACCGAAACCTTTTAAATTTGCATTAAAGAGGTTATAATTTAATATATAGAATTTACTCTCATGAAACAAACACAATAAGTGTTATATTAATCATAGATTGTTTATATATTTTGTGGATTTCTCCACAGGCAACGCTGAACTTTTATACTATAAACAAGTCCAAAATGAAGAAGAGAGAATAATGGATCTTCGTATTGCGAATTTCCTCAAACTGAAACAAGAGCGCGAAGCGAAGAACCGAGCTGAACAAGAGGCCATTAAAGCGGCTAAACAAAAAGGAATCGATCATATCGCTAAGGCTCAAAAGGTATAGTGACTGGCAAATCGTATGGGGATGGTTTGCGATGTTACTATTTTTTACAGGAAAGTGCATAAAAGAAAAGATTGGCCTTTCGTACACTCTCGTAACTATTCTTTTTCAGGAGAATCGGCTTATAGATCGGCAGTTCCCTTTTAGCGTTTTACGTATAGACATATTATACTTCATATAAGCGTACGATGGCTCGATCTGAACCACCGCCGTACTCTCGTAATGAAACTCGAAGTGGAGTTGTAAATATTTCGTTTACTGGTCGAAGGTTAGTGATGGTCAAAGCTTATGATTAACGTCCGTCCGGCACGGATGCGTAAATCTATCTAACAAAGTATACAAATAATATCTTAAACTAAACTATACGCTGGTAAAAGGGACTGGCCGACCTATCCGCTACCTGCGCACCTTTTTTTTCATTAATTTTTTTTGATGTTCGATAAATGGCAACAAAAAACTCCAAAATAGGAGTTTTGATGTTTTCACAAAATATCTTAATTTCAATATTAACATGATATATGAAATGCCTTATAATTTGCTAAAATTTATTTTTATGATTTGGTATAGGCTGAACAAGAGTTGAAAGAAGAGTTAGAACGCATAAGAAACCTGAAGATTCAAGAGGATGTGGAAAGAGAATGCCGCCGGAAGGAGAGAGAGGCGGCTATTAAGAGGAACCGAGAGATGAAGAGACTGCATGAGGGGCGCATTCAACAGGTTAGTCGTGCATAAATACGATATTTGAAGGGTGAATGTTATACTCAGGTCCTGCGTTTTAAAACCGTCTGTTAATACTTGACGGAAATTACCTCTGTATGTCTGACTTTCTACTGCAGATCATGAAAGAAAAAATGAACATGAAATACCGTACATATTATATGAATAAATTATGCTTCTTATTAATATTATTTTCAGATAACCGATATACACAGACTGATTGCGCGTGAGATTGCAAAAGATGAGCAAAGTTTCAACAACGCCGCGAGACAGAATGAAGAGTTCATTAGAAAGGAAAAAGAGGTATAAAATGCCTGATATTATTTTTGGTAATTCTTGAACTAAACTACAAATAAACAAAAGCATTTAGCTAAAAGTTATTCGATTTTGTGTAGCTGGACGATAAACGCAAAGCTCGCATCGAACAGCACAGGCAAGAAATAATGAAGCAAATCAATGACAAAGAAAGAGCTAGGTAAGAAGAAAATATAATAAATTCTATTCACATGTTATCGTACTACTGGCTAGTGTAACTAGCATGTACTTGTACTTTCGATTATTTGACAAATAATATATTTTGAATTTATACTTCTTTAGGCGCGTTATGAAAAATTGATGAGAGTGAAATTTTACGATGCGCGCGCACCGTGACACAAAATTAACAGAATGAAGTTGCCCACGGAAGATGCTACGGCATTGGAAATAATTTAAAAACAACATTCGAATAATAATAGAATTTATGTTACACTTAATGTGTAACATAAAAAATAAAGAGACTAATAATACATTTTTATTTATTGAATTTTCCAAATGTAAACTTAACTTTACTAACTATAATGACTCCTTTTCCAGTCTTTGATTATTTAATTGTAATTAATGCAAATAGCATGCAATCGAAAACTATTTTTAATAATGCCAAAGAAGTATAACTTCTTAGGGGGCGTCCATTAATTACGGAGGTGTTTAAGGGGGGAGGGGGTCGAGTCAAATCTCATTTAATCTTACGTTGGAGAGAGGGGGGTCTCGGCAAATATCACGCAATTTTTTTCTGATTAAAAAAAAACTTAGGAAAACGGTTGACCTAAAGGCCACTGCAACTCCCGCTAACTCCATACCTAAAGCCAACATTCACTTATTTTGTTTTAGTCGAAAAAAAGCAGAAGCAATTTTTTTGAACATTTTTAAAAATCTCACGTGGATTGGCGGAGGGGAGGGGGTTGATAAAATCTCACCAGGGGGGAGGGAGGTACAGAAAATTTACACCTCACGTAATTTATGGACGCCCCCTTACGCGCGTACATAAGTACACGCACCCTTTTTTTAATTGCTGATAAACTAATAAGTCAAAAAAACATACATGTATCTACTTTTTTAATCGCACATATTATTATTTATATATACAACACATACTTACATATTAAATTATTGTTTTTGCGCCTAATTTGTTATACCATGTGTATACATAAATCTAAAACTATTCAACAAGTTTTTAATTAAGATTTATGATATTTTTGCAGAGCTGATTTGCGAGAGAAGGTTCACAACGAAGGCGTGGCGCTACGTATGGAACAAGAGCAACAGGATAAATACGAGAGGAAGATCATCAAGCATAAGGTAAGAGTAGAAAAGAGTTACTGCAAACTTTATTCAAAAAATCGTTAAAGAAGAATGGATAAAAATTTAATTTAATAAATAAGAATCTTTTACAAACATTATTATTATAGTGACCCAATCACGTGGAAATTTAATGTCTATACTTAAACGATTTACAAATTTTACACTTTTCTACTAGAAATTCCTTAAAGCTGATGGCTGACTGGTGTACCTATATATAAGTGATATTTTTCTAATGCGATAGTAAAAACATAAACAACTTACGTTATTTGGAAATTTCAGGTGGCCGAGATGAGGCTACAGAAGGTTGCTGAGAAATATGTGAAAGAAGTAGAGCAGACACTCGGAAAATATGGATATTAATATTACCAATACTTGACTGAAATTGCTATTAAATTAAATCATCAATTTATCTGTGAACAGAGGGGCGTTGTCAATGTTGCTATTTAGCCAGTATACGCAAATTCCATGTATTGTAGTTATAGTACCCAAAAACTATTATTGCTTAATGAATAATTTTATTTTAACTCCTTTTTTGACCTACTTACTTGTACAAATATGTAGTACAAAGATGTTATAGTGATAGAGAAATCATACATTGGTGATTGATGATTATTGATAATTTATGATTTTAAGTAATCTGAGCAATATGCTTGAAACTATGGAGTAAGAACCTCTTAAAATGCGCAGCAAGTCTGCTGAAAATTCAAATAATTTTATAATTTACATCTTTCATTACAAAGAGAGAAATCCTACTACTGGCAACACTGACAATCAAATGACATTTATTATTATTGTGGTATCCCCCATTCTAAGTTTCATAGATAAGTTGATGGGGCTCTAGTTATATTTAGTTTTGCTTTAATCTTTAATAACGATATACGAAAAAGGTATTTGATGTACAACTAGTGTGATTTGAACCCATTTGGTATTATTTTTAGAGTTTAATATACGCTTTTTGAAAATTTCAATTTTTGGCTCTAAGTTTGAATAAATAGTGAAATGATACACATTTTCTATTTTTATTTATTTACTACATAGAAATAATTAATACAATACCAATATTTACAGCAATTACAATATTTTGGAAAAATACAAAAGCTAAAATCAGTCTGGTTTTTTTATCAGTATAAAACTAAATATTAACATAGAATAATAGAAGTAATAAGCGTAGGTAGGGTTGGGAATTTATGCCTAATTTACATGGCTATAAATAAACGAAATACATTATTTGACGTTTCAAAAATTTAAATTTAAGGAGCTGTCAAAAATAAATAGTAGAAATTATAGAGCCAATATTATACTTGTTCCTAACAATATTAGCTATAAATTGAATTTGTAAATATTAACATTTTCAATTTTATTCAAAATATGTTGTGTTACCATTTTGTGCTTCCTTTCACATAAACAAGTCACAATCTTTATGTTGTCATATTAATATAAAAAAGTTGTTTATAAAATTAATAATCAAATTTCTTAAAGGCTTACTGACTTTGATATATCTTTGTAACGGTCACTATAATCACACTAATACTATCACTATTTCACTTCATGGCTTTTTCTCCGAGTTGAACAACCTTATCCAAGTTATCCTTGAGTGTCTTGAGCTGATGCAGGACATTATCATCCATGAGAGAGAATGGGATGTAGGCCTGTGACTGTCGGAGCTGCTTTGGTTGTAGGGAAAGCATTGTACCATCTCGTAGTAGAATGTTGCAATTTGCTTTTTCATCAGGTTGCATTCTGAAATAGAACATTTTTCATATACATTTGCTATAAGAATTCCTACCAGTTACCTATTTAACAAAATTTAATTAACACATGAACTTACTATAATAAATATTAATTCAAATACATCTTACTTAAATCATGCAAGTTCTGTGTACTGTGAGTTCCACGCTAAAACAGCTGTAGAGCTTCAGTCAAATTACACAATGGACTTCTTTTTCTTCAAGAAAAATAGTGATTTGTGTAAGGTTATTAGGTGGGCGACATTATTTTATATTATGTTACATAGATCAAAATACATCCTCTTTCACGGGCCATCATGAAATTCCATAAAAAGTTGCCAGTAGCAATAAAATATTTTTATATCGGTATCTAACTTTCAAACAGAAATATTACTTACGCATAAGAACAGCTGGGCACCATAACAGGTGACCCAGACATCGACAGTACCATCTCTCCTTGCCTCGGCTGACGTAATAATGTTAACGGTGCGTGAGGCGTCACCTGGAAAGATTAAAATTAAACATTAGTATTAAGTCGGGCTTTGAATTATGACAAGGTACTTCTTTCACAAAACAAACGCGGTCAGGGTAGATAGTTATCAGTACACGCTAGAAACTCTTAACGCCAAGTCTAAGTTAATCCCTAAATAGTAAGTAAATTCGTGATTAATTTAACCATAAATGAAACTAATTTCGGCAGGGTGTATTTAAAATTGTGATGGTTTCAGTGAGTGAGAAATTAAGTCAAAAATAAATATAAAAAAAAGGACATCGGCAGCCTATAATTAAAATTCTACGATATCATAACGGCATCAAAACATTAGTACCTTCATAGACAATCGTTGCGGGCGAGATTGTTTAAAGTACCTATATAATAAAGAGAGGTATGTCTGAATATACATATTTTCGTGACATACCTTAGGAGTTATAACAGGATAATTAACTGCAGCATTCCTATTCAAGGCCGGCGTACGGTACACGCTTTTGCCACGCCGCCGTTGCGTTGTGGCACTTGCTGAAGGCTTTGCAACTGAACGGGCAGAGGCATCAGCTGACCGAGACCGCCTTATGGAACGAGTTGCTGAAGGCGGTACTGTAAATAATAATTGATACAGGACGTACACTTGACAGCAGCAAAAGATCTAACCATTTCATAAAACAAATATAACTACGATCGGAGTGCAGCGTAGACTTACAACATAGATTCAAAATAATGTGGAGACATTTTTAGATCATAAGTTTTGGACATTAGTATGCCAAGTAATATGGCTGCTTGTGCTGTTTTTAAAGTGAAACATCTTTTGGCGCATGAGTAAAATTTTTACGGATGAAACGCAAAAATAATGTTAGCGTCACGAAGATGTGTAGTGTTTTTGTCGAAGAAAAGGGAGAGAGCGATTGAGACCGATTGAGAGAGAGTGAGAAGGGCGAATTATCTTATAGAAATTTTATTTTTAAAATTAAAATTTCGTAAAGAGAATTTATGACTTATTAGTATTTTATATTTTATGCAAAATAATTTATTGGAATCTCAAATGACGAATTGTATATTAAAATGCCACGTGTTTTTAATATCGAAGAAATAAATTTAAAAAATTAAATTTCGCAACTTTTAATATTTTAATGACAATAAAATTTACTAAATTCCTAACATATTATCTTCCTTTTTCACTCCCTAAGTCTCGTTAAAGTTTTAGATTTGTATAAATATGAACAAGACTTAAAAATTAGTTTGTTCATATTTATACAAATGTGAACATGTGTACTTTGTACGCACGCACTTTTTTTTATAATTAATCAATCAGAATGTACCGCTTTCTATGCAAATAAACGATTTATTTACTTATAAAGAAATCAGACGTACCGCATTAACTAAACCATTTGTATATTTTCATTAAAGTATAGACACAATTTGACAGAACGAAACGAAAGAGTAATGAAAAATGTTTTGAATTTTATACCGTGATTTTTAACGTAGAAACCAAAGCTAATATAAAGAACCCTCAGCCTTAAACCTCAATATTCTTGCAGTTAAAACAAACAAAGCATAGTTGCAGACTTGAGTGAAATAAAAAATGAACTTACTGAATGTTTTCTTAGCACCACAATCCCCGGAGCCATGGGATGAGTTCTCGGTGAGGTAGCCTGACCCAAAGCGTTAGTGGAAATTAATGGAATGATGTTAAGTAGTGCATGGCAAAATTATTAAGAATCACCCTAAATAGCGAATAATAAAAAATTTAAACATTCAGGACTGGTTGATTTTAGGATCACGCTATTACCCCACCAGCGTACTAAGTAGCTTTTACAGAGAGTCAGTGATTGTCTGCACTCACATTGCAGCGTCTTAAACGGTTGTAGGACAATGTTATACCTTGACCCAACAGTGCTGACGATTAGAGAGATACTAAAATCAGCCTTATGCATTTGAAGATCTCTTAATGACATTACATATAATGCCTGTAATATTTGAACAATATACTGGATAGTTAATATATAAAAATTCTTGGCAAATATTTAGTGTGATACTAAGGAAAAAGACTACTGATCATGAACCTGTATAAGGCTCAACAACATTATACACAATCATAAAATAAAATTTGAAAAAACAGTAGTTCAAAAATATAGGCATGAAAATACAATGTATGGATAGCATTATCTAGTATCTAGTATTTTATTGTGATTTAGAAAATAATTATATCCATATTATACTCTGTTCTTTAGTATCTTAAGTGTCATATTATTGCCAAGACCTTTTTTCTTATGATGGTATTGCTGTAACATTAAATCAGAATGTATATGTAGTACTAATTGAGAAAAGTGTACCAGAATTTGAAATAAAATAATTAGAAAAAACTAAAAGTTATACTAGATTAGTGGACAAATGAAAGATGTACATACTAGAAATTACCACACTACAAGATTAATTTAAGGTACATTTAATTATTAGTTATAGACAAAAATATTAATCTACAAACACTACTTAAGACAATTATTTACTTTCTATGAATTTAAACTTATATAAGTTATTATCATCCGTAAGTGGTAAGCATTATCATTTATCAATATAAGGAATATTGCCTTTAAGGATAACATTCACCCATCCTTGAACAATATGCTGGATAGATAATATATAAAAGTTCTAGGAAAATATTTAGCTTTATACTAAAATAGTGCTCAGGAAAACACTACTGATCATGAACCTGTAGAAGGCTTAACAAAGTTTTACACATTCATAAAATAAAATTTGAATGTCTCGTTTTTGCATCTTACACAAAAAAAGCTGTATGAAAGTAGGTATAAAATGAACAAATGCATGAGAAATTGCAGTGTGTTTTAATATTGAGTGAATATCCATACCATCATCATTGGATGCAGCACGGCTCGATGCAGTCACTCTTGATTGTCTGGTGTTTGTGGGCTCCTTGAGAAGGAGTTCATTTTTCTAAAAAAGGTTTCATTCATATCAACAAGGACAAAGATGAGATCATAACTTGATTGATTTGAAACTTAACTCATATGCCATTGGATGTAACATGGCCATTAACAGTACCATTTTCATGGTAGAGAAAAATTCAAAAAGATACTTTTTGTAGGAGGAAAGCCTAATAACAGCTTTTGAATTGCCAACATGCATCTCAATTATTCTTATATTAAAATACTAACCAATTGACCCACAGTCTTTTGCAAGTTCGTTTCACTTATTGAGCCCAATAATATCTTGAAAGCAATCTCCACACTTGCAATTTGCATTTGAGCTTGTGAATCTACTTTCGTCTTTAGATCATTAGCTGTAAACATAAGTATTAGTTATTAGTAATCCCTCTATAAGCACATGGTTATTTATTGGTTTAAAGATTTTCCGTTTTTATATGAATACCGCCAATAAGGCACTGAATTGCAAATATGTACAAGTGGTATCATCCACACACAATGTATGCTATATAATACCACTGAAATATCATCAAACACTAAATTATAAACTAATAGAAATGTGTATAATAATATTACATAGTTTTTTTAATCTCTTGAGAGTATCATCGCTATCGACATTTTCCTCCTGTTTCTTCACGGGTCGCTTCGTTCTGGGCATATTTATTAAAGTTCTCTGTCTATTTCGTATTTAAAACTGGTAAGGCAACAGGGCGACCGATGAACAAAGTCAGACGGTATCACTATTATTTTAATAATCAAGTAACAAAACTTTTAAAATATATAACAACTGAACTTTAAAACAACTTTACTAAAAGCAAGTAGCAACTAGCAACCGACATTTTTGAATCGAGTCATAGGGTATAGACTATAGACCATAGCTAATTAAGCACTCCAGAGTATTGGGATTTGGATTTAGAATTATAATAGAATTATATTATATAGAAATCGTTTTCTCGTAGGAAGGAGTAGAGACTATTGAAATAATATAAAAAAGTAGTAGAGAAATCTTATCTAAAACACTAAATTATTTGTCAATATGATAATTTTAATACGAACGTTTCGAACGTTCATCAATGTAAGTTAGATAATCGATTCAAAGCCTTCTTTTTTAAAAAATTTTTTATGCAAAATGATATTAATATAAAAGAAATAATCATTATATATTATTTATCTTTTACAATAAATTGTTACTTTTGAAGAATTTATTATCGCAAGCCTTAAAATTTCTATGTAATTTTTAAACGAATGTCTGGATGTTTTGCAACTTCCGCTTCCTTTTAAAATATTAATGGCGTAATTTTAAATTTTTTTCATAAATTATTCACTTATAAAATAAAATTTTATTAAATAAATGTAGTAATTTTGTTTTTATTACGATTTTGTTTTTTTTTAATTAATCATAATAATAAGTGGTTGATTTGATTACTTCAGAGCTTTGTTATGATGAGTAAAGAATGGCGGACGTTGTCATTGTAGCATATTTATACACATTTTTATTTATAAGTGCTGGTTATGGTGAGCTATTTTATTTATGAAATGTGTCATTTATTTTGCCAAAAACAACTTCAAATGCGTGTGGAAATGTAGTGCTTCTATTGCCTCGAAATTCGTGGGAAATGGGAACATCCGCGTCCTCCAGCATGTTTTATTATTGTTTTTCATTACGTCGTTTTAATATTTTTTCTTAAACTTCTAACTGAGACCTACATCCATCTCATAAAACTCGCGGTATTTAATTGAATTCATTTAAAAATGCTTTGAGGAAGTACATATATTTTTAAAGAAAATTTTGAATGTTATCGTATCATTAAAATGAACAATTGCCTACAATAATCTGTCGATAATAATATTGAAATGGGACGTTTTGACGCTATAGAAACTTAAATGTATTCATATCCTATGTACGTTTGCTACAATTGCCAAATGCTATTAATTTGAAATTCTTTGCAGCAGGCCTCACAGGTTTGGACAATTTTGAGGATGACGGCCTTACGAACATACAAACCCAAGCAGACAATCTCCTGCTTGATGACACACTCGATAAAAAGATGGTGCACCACCCAAGGTAAAAAATTATATTCTGTAAATGTAAGGGTTTAATCACTCAAGTGCTTTTACTTTTCATACATATTAGTCTAAACCTTTTGGAAATTTTGTTAATATGAGCAAAAAGTTAAAGTAATGTTTCTTAATGCCCTTGCTGCTTAGGAGAAGAAAGTTTCAGAAGAGGTATGTAATTTTAGCTTTATTATTAAGATATAGTATAGTAATAAAAGTTAATCATGTTAAACACAACTCTGAAAAGAAACATCACATTTAAAATTTATATCCAAGGTCTCACAGTTTACTTTCACATACAATATTAATTTCTGTGGTTTGTTAGGTAAGACACCTAATGGTTGCTAGGTTTAATAATTATATGTATAATATGTAATAAATTCACAGGTATAAATGCCACCAATGTGAATCACCAGACTGTGATGATTCCACACAACAAGTATGTGGATCTGCACTTTATTGCTTCAAGTCAACTGTCAGAGCATCTGATGGTGAACTCCGATATAGTAGGGGCTGTTCTACAAGACGAGATCACTATCAATTCACCTGTCATACAAATCAACATTCACAAGGGTTCGTATACTGTCCATGTTTTAAAAATAATCAAACAATGTATACTTTGTTATGGCTAGAGGTAAGATCGTCTAAAGAATTCAAGTTTCTTGATGTAGGTTTCTTTATCCCAGTAAAAAAAAATTGTTTTGAGTAGAAAACCATTTAAATCTGATCTCAAAGTTGCCTTCACTTTTAACTTTGCTGAACGACTTTTTTCCATAACAAATTTAGTATTAAAGTTGTTACATCAACTGATGTGATTAGACAACAATATGGATTATATTTAAAAAGTCTTCAACGGTTGTTTCTATCATTAATGAGCTGGTACCTAGTATACAGGTTGGCCAGTGTCATAAAAAGTTGTTTGTTTTCACTAAAAGTATCTGCACAAGTTTTTCTATTACATAAATTCAGGCCAGGCTATGTTCTACTTTGTAGACATCTAAATTTAATCAGTATTGCATTGTTTTGCGGTGCGTGAATGACAAGTTACATTTGCAGGCCTCGCAAACGTCATGCTGGCCAGCTGAATATTACCTGTTGCCAAGGTGACATGTGCAATAATGGTAGCTTTCCTGAACTGTCACCTGCTGACACTGCAATTGAACCACTAACTACAAATACTTGGAAGCTATGGATCAGTGTGTTGGCTTCTGTGGTTATTGTCAGCGTTCTAGCCGTTATGGCTATACTTGTATTAAGGAGGACACACAGGTAACTATGCTTTCAGTACAGTTGTAAGTAGCCTAATTGTCATCCATTGCCCGAGATAAGTGGTCAGATGCTGTCTGGAGTTCAATTTTGTGAGAAGCAATAATTATTTTGGATTGATAAAATAAGCAATAAGTAAATAATCACCATTATTAAGATCTAAAACACAAGACAGTCTACAACACAATCAGTTATGATTAAAATAATAAATAGTATAAATGTTAATAACTGAAGAATTAATTTTAATATAATGCTTGGAATTTATTTCAGATTGCGAGTGCTTCAAGCAGCTCAGAAGCTAGGAAAAGATTTTAATTACTTTTCAAGCAACACCTACAACATGCCGGTCACCAGTGCATTTTACGAAGGTATTACAGTTATCCCATAGCATTTTTTTTTTATGTACCAAATATTGCTTGAGCCTCAAATTAAGTCACACAATGCTGAATATTTTTCTCATTTGCTAGAATTTGCTAAAGAAAAATATGTAAGTTAAAGCAGTGGCCTTCGCTTATGCATATTTCAAGACTAGTTTAGTTGGAAGGTGAATGATAATAATAAAAGAAGTGAATGATAATAATAAATTGGAAAATTTATAGAATTCAGTCAGGTAGAGTGCTGGTCAGTTTCAAAGTTAAAACGCGTTGGTTGAAATGATATTAAATTCTTTATTGATATACAACAGGCTATGTAATTAGTATATGTACATTGTACACAGACTAATTGTGGAATCTATGCTTAAGACAATTTTGTTTTTGTTGTATAGTCATTTTGTATTTTCATTGAATATTCTAGAATGTCAAAAGTAAATATCAGGAGCTGTCAAACCATTATTTCTGTATGAAACTTGACATATTTGATAGCACTAAAGACGATGGTGACTTGAGAATGAATTAGAATATGGACCTTTGATTTTGTATCTTATAAATATATAAAAAATGTTTTATCTAATTTGGTTCATTCGGAAGTATGTTAGGTAACCATTAGTACACCAAAATGTATATAACATCTACTTTACCTAAAACATCAAACTAAATTATAATCCAAATGAAATTAATTTAAGGTATGGAGGGTTCCACCAATGCAGTGAGAGCGGTTGCAGCTGGTGACTCCACGCTACGGGAATACTTAGAGACTTCCATGAGCAGTGGGTCAGGCTCCGGTCTGCCCTTGATGGTGCAGAGGACCCTGGCCAAGCAAGTAACGTTAATCGAGAGGATAGGAAAGGTATGTGGCATCTTGTTAATAGTGTAATTATTGTCCTGATGTTTGATGTGTAGGTACATTTCTGTAGGTTTCATTAATTTGAATGCAATGTGCTTTCCAAACTTTAACAATTATTCCTTGAATATCAAATATTATTTAACCTAAGCTCTTATTCTCAATACATTCAAATATTCATAAGGGAGCGTTCAAGTATTACGTAACGAATTTTGGGGGGGGGGTCGTAAAACGATGCGGGGCGGGGATTGAATTACGCGAGATTAATATTATTTTCGACTTTCCACTACTTTACACCACATAATGGTAACTTTTAGGTATAAAGAGTCACTAGGTGGTCACGAAACGTTGTACTATATTTGGGTACAGAAAAACGTTACGACGCGTTACAGTGGGGTGTCAATAATCTCCAAAAATTGCGTGACGTAATACTTGAACGCTCCCGAATGTGTGATTTAAACCTAAAGTTCTTTTTACTATTGCGTGTGTGTATAGTGGTATATGTATTTATTTAATAAGTAAATATAAATTATTTTATGGTAAATAATTCCAGGGTCGCTATGGCGAAGTATGGCGTGGCTCGTGGTACGCAGATAGTGTGGCTGTTAAGATCTTCTTCTCCCGGGATGAGGCCAGCTGGAGGAGGGAGACTGAGATATATAGCACTGTCCTGCTTCGACATGACAATATACTCGCTTATGTTGGAAGTGATATGACCAGCCGGAATAGTTGCACGCAGGTAATTTTTTTTTTATAATATTAAATATTATATGGTCCTTAAATTGCTTACATTTCTTTACTCAATTTTATATACAAGGTGGTCAGCCTTCTGTGCCTGACATGTTGCAATATAATTAGACATAAAAAGGTCCATTGGTGCAGCTGTGATTCAAGTGACACCTCAGGGTTTAGCCAATACTAGTTCTCCATTGAAATTGCTGTATTTCTTTTCCAGCTCTGGTTGATTACTCACTTCCATCCATTGGGTTCGTTATATGAGCATTTGAGTCGGACAACTCTAACCCGACATCAGATGATGGTCATCTGTTTGTCCATTGTTAATGGCTTATTGCATCTACATACAGATATCCACGGCACACAGGTTTGTATATAATATTTGTAATTCATCAGTAAAATTTGTAATCTCGACTTAGCTTTAAATTTTTTCCTGTATGTCAAAATCCTGTATGTTTTTGACATACGGAAGTCGTACTTAGCGCTTAGTTTTAAATCTGAATTTTTAATTCATATGATATTCTCAAATTTGATGATTACATTATTATTATTAAAGCTTTATTAATTAATCCATACAAAAATTGGTTAGTTTAAGTTCGATTCACATATATCAGTGAAGTCACAGTTCCGACTCAGTACCGGCACAGTGCGAAATATTTCATACATTCTCGATGAACGCATCCCCACTTGTCAGTGTCAGTGCAAACACCGGCAATCACGGACGGATTCGTTGACAACGATATTTTTTGTCGGATCACTGACGCCGTGTTATTATTTGTTACATTTTGTTTATTGCAGAAGAATATTGAAGCTGCTCTCTGACATTTTAAAATATCTTTAACTAATTCTTTGTATAATATGATGAATTCTCCTTCCGTCTCTCTTGATTGCCATGCTTCATGCACCCATTTTCTTTTTTTCCTTGATGCTGCTCTTCTTCGTCTAAAGCAACAGCTATCATTGCTAGCTCCGTAGTATTGAACAGTGCCATAATCACGTTACATGACGACGGACAAGTTTTCACTGAAGCTCCGTAAACTGACATGTGTGAAATGAATGACGCAATACTGTATCACTGATACTGAACTGTGCGGACACGTTGACGGAACTGGCTACACTGATATATTTGAAGCGTCCTTTATATTCCTTAATATTAAGTATAGTTGTGTTAGTATAAGTTTTAAAAAATTTAAGTTAGATTTATTTTTTATTTTTTAGTGGTCTAGTTTTTGTATGGAGGGTCCATTATATTTGTATTTAGGGTAAAAGCCTCCTCCATATTTTTCCTTTTCTCTTTGCCTTGAGAAACATCCAGTTTTCCCCCCGCTAGTTCTATTCTATTCAGATAATTACATTATTAATAAATAATTATCTTTAATTCTTGGGTAAAAAGTTTTATCCAGTCGGCCGGTAATTAATATAGTTTTTTTTTTCAGGGCAAACCGGCGATCGCTCACCGTGATATAAAATCGAAGAATATCTTAGTAAAAGTCAATGGGGAGTGTTGTATCGCTGATCTAGGGTTGGCAGTCACCAGGCATCATGTCTCCGCAGGGTTGATGCACAATCCACGCCAAGGAACTAAGAGATATATGAGCCCTGAGATGTTGGATCAGAGGTGAGTTTTATTCATTTAATAATATAGAGGTACAGGCACCAAAAAACCACTGAAGGGTTTGCTGGAAGAGTATATAAATTACATAAAAAATAATATAATAACACAGGACAAATTAAATAATATATAGTATATGTATTGGAAAAATAATCTAGACTGTAGAATTGTCTCGTATTGTATTATCAAAGGAATGAAGTACATTGCATTTTGGAATTAAAGCGGATTTCTATATTTTCAAATTACTTGGTATAATCTTTATATATTAAAATAAATTATTATTTTACTTCAGTGGTTACATGTATAAACCCAGCGGTTCCATATCAAGAATATTTGGTAGAAAATCCACTATTTCTTTAAAAAATCCGATAAATAATATAATAATAGTACAGTTCAGTTTTTAAAATTGGAATATTGTGTCAGTGTCTATTGTTTTTTTAAAAACCAAAAAAAATATATCAACAAGATTAGATTTCAAACACGGAAAATTAAGCCTAACAAAATCTACTATTACGGTCAACGTTTGATGCTTACGTATCGTGCTGTAACGAAGGTGTACGATCCCAACGTTCAATGATTGGGTTTTGGGATCGTGTGGTTCAATATTAAAGTCAAGATCGCTATAATCTGGTCCTCAGTACTCGGTTGAATACTTTATTCTTCAAGTATAATTTGTATTTTAGTATGAACCTCCAAAGCTTCGATTGCTACCGCAAATGCGATATATACGCGTTTGGCCTGGTCCTTTGGGAGGTGGTGAGGCGGGTGTGTCCAGCTGCAGAGCATCGGCCGCCATTTTACGAGCTGGTGGGACACGATCCCAGCTTCGAAGATATGAGGAAGATTGTATGTGTGGAAGGAGCGAGGCCTGAACCTCCTGTGGATAGTAATCCGGTGAGTTTTATTTTTTTGGGTAAATCTTAAACTATCATACACATCCCAACTGATATCTGTTATGGGTTTTTAACATAAAATAAAACAAATTAGCACATATTAGGATATTTAAAAAAGGGACCTCAAACAAGTAAGCTAGCAAAATACAATAATTAAAATATATTAACCTAAATCTTATAATTAACTTAATACATAAATGTGGGCACCAGGAGGATTTTGGTTTATCCTACCAAATCTATTATATGTGATAATGTTTACCACATAAACAAATAGTTAATTTATTATTCAATAAATGAATATCTAATTTGAGGGAATTTCCCAAAGCTAAAACAAAGAAAACATTTCAGACTGTTTCCCAACCAAAATAAAACTAAACCAAAAAATAATAACTAAAGGAAATATACCCCTCAACACAGTTATAACCGAAATAATCCAAGCTTTTATATAACACAAGACAGAATTTATGTAAACGCGTCCAATCTACGGCAATCACCCGTGTCTGACCTATTGTCCCTACCCTCATCTCTAAACCTGTCAAAAAGGTAGGAAATTTTTGACTGTGGTCAAGACAAGACTTTACAGAGATAATAAAGAGAGAAAAAGAAACAATTGTATATATTCTGGTAATAATATATAATACATAAAAAATTACGATTCAAAATTTTTAATCATATAAACTAGATTTTATTAAAATGTTTTGAAAAAATCTAATCTAATAAAATCGATATTGGTAAAGCATAAAGAAAGAAAAGATCGTACCGATTCTTAGAAGGCCGCCAACGCACTTGCGAGCCCTCTGGTTATGTGAGTCCTTATGTTCAATTAACTAATTTCAGACAATGGTCTTCATGGCGGCCATAATGCGGGAATGTTGGCATCAGAATGCGTCGGTTCGACTCCCGGCGTTAAGAATAAAGAAGACACTACTAAAGTTAGCGGCGAATGACAACGCGATACATTTGGACGAAGATAATGAGGTATCCGTGTAAGAATTAAAATTGGCTTTATTTTGTACATTTTCTCATAATATAAAAGTGGTCTTTAAATGGAAGAAAAGAAAGCATGTTATATTAACTTTGGTTTTGCTCACTAGATGGCATTACTGTTGAGTGTTCTTTAAGGGTTTTGTGTATTTACTACGGAAATGTCAAATGTCAATGTTCGATTGACTTACACTAATATTATTTAGGGAGCGTTCAAGTATTACGTCACGCAATTTTTGGAGATTATTGACCCCCCCCCCCCCCACGTAACGCGCCGTAAGGTTTTTCTGTACCCAAGTATGCTAAAACATTTCGTAATTACCTAGTGACTCTTTATACCTAAAAGTTACCATTATGTGGTGTAAAGTACTGGAAAGTCCAAATTAATATTAACAATAACGCGTAATTCAATCCCCGCCCGCATCGTAACGTTTTATAAAAGGAAAAAAATCGTTACGTAATACATGAACGCTCCCTTAGACGTTTAATATAAAAAAAACCGGCATGATTAAGGATGCTGGCGGTGGTGCCATCTCTTTTTTTACGTAATGATATCAAAAGTAAATTCTATAAGTGCAACGAAAGCAAAATGTACGTTTTTTGACCTTAAATTGACCATAAAAAGGCCTGTCAAAGACTATAGTTTTAAGTAACTGAGAAGCGAATACAAAATAAACTAATATAAAAAGCCGCCTTCATAGCTCATATATTTAAGTCATAAAAACCTATCTCTTATCAAAATACGTAATCTGGTTTTGAGTATTGTCAAATTGTCTTACGCGAGTTAAATATTTAAACTTCTATTTACGTAATTAGAAAGCATAAATCAGTATATTTGCAGATTTATTTATATTGCATTTATAATAAAAAAAATTGTTTATCTGATCTCATAACAATTCTATTGTTAGCCTTCAACTTTTACTATAAAATATTTAAAATAAATATTTGATTATGAAAATCAGCGTTCAAACTAAAGTCTATAAAGTCTACCTAATGTAAATTTACTTCGAATTTGACTTACTTTAGTTACCCTTAGATAAAAAAAATACATTTATTTTATTTCAACCACAATTCGTGATGTTTCACCTTGGGGTACAAAATCTATTTATTGCTAATACAATCCAAATTTAACATAAATATTACAATATATTTTTGTACCTTTATCGTTAACGGGTTCGAAGTCGGGATCGCTTTTACTATTGAGAGATTTTTTTTATTATTGTTGATTAAACATTATAAAGTACAAAATCACCAAAAAAAACAAGGGGTGGTGAAGGGCTACACCGCAGTACAAACTACTTTTAATTTCTTACAAACTAAAGACTTAAGAGAAAAATAAATTAAGAACCTCAATCCATACAAAAACAACGAAGACACTAATCCAACAGAGACAAAAACTTTTTACCAGGTTGACCAAAAAATACCTTTTAAAATACTCATACAATTTTCGGTTATTATTAACTTTACCGGTTTATTAATAATAATATATAAAATTAAAACGCATATAATGTCAGAATTATTTTGAAGTGAAGCAACTTTTTTTGCCGCGTATCACTATGTGGATCCAGCTACACACTGAAGTTATTCCAAACCAATTCGACTTGGGTCCTTCAAGAAAAGAGTATACCAACTTTATCCGGCAACGCACTTGTGAGCCATCTGGGATTCACCGTATCCGCGGCGGTTTCACATGTTTGCTCCCTTTTTTTATTATTGAAAAGCTTGCCAACGCTCGGCACACTGACATATTGCAAAAACCAACACAAAATACAATTTTTAATGTGACAAGCACTTAAAGGCAAACATGACATAAATGTAGAGATCATACAAATATCAAACCAATTATTAAACAAAACAAACATCAAAAATAAAAAACAATTACTAATAAAAAAAAAGGTGTGTGTACTTATGTACGCGCGTAATACTTCTTTGACATTATTAAAAATAATTTTTGATTGCATGCGAATAATGAATTACAAAACTTCATTCTGTTAATGATGTTGTGTCACGGTGCGCGCGCATCGTAAAATTTTCACTCTCATCAATTTTTCATAACGCGCCTAAAGAAGTATAACTTCAAAAAATTACAAAAAACTAAACAAAAATCGATATTATAATGTGAGGGGAGCAACTATGGATGGATTTGTGAGTTTATAATATTGTACACTCTTGTAAATTGCGTAGTTTGAACAAAAGCACTCAAATCTATTTACATCACAGTAAACACAATTTGACAAAGAATAATCTTTAGTTAAAGGAAGATAAACCTGATTTAGTTTGAATTATTGTTTTAATTTTGAAAAAAAAAGTTTTAATTAAGAGATGGGTTTAAAACGGCCATTCATTAGATAATAAATCAAAGTGCCGAGTAGTATTTTAAATTCATTACATATGTAAATACACATTGTATAGTGTAACATTTTGTAATATAACATTTTAATAGCTGATCCTACAGAATATAAAAAAAATATGTTAGTTTATTTTTCATTTATATTAAAATCTTCCAAAATACTTATGTCTGGATTACTGAATATTATTCCTGTGGGATCAGTTAATCGCGGATTTTTATTCCAATTCGGAATACCTAATTGTATAGTTGGTGCGTATTTTTCAATCGTAAATAGTGATAAACTATTAAAATGTAAATTATTGGAACATTTTATGGTTTCATTAATGCTCTTAATTAAAAAAAATATATAACTAGCTTGACCCGGATGTTAACTGTCATTATAGATAGTGCAATCCACGAAGACGCGCCCCACTATTTCTCCTAACCGTTTATAGTATATGTGTGCAAGCTTCCGTCAATATAGCTGACGGTTCGCAACTGACGCTCGGAGCAAACTCCCCGCACCCCGCGATCCCTTCAACCAAAAATTAGCGGGGCGCTTCTTCGTGAATTGCACTATCTATAATTTAATTAAGTGGACGTGGTACTAGACTATTACTTTGTTACAAAGTTATTGTAAACTTCAGGTAATATTGTTCTAAAAATGCTCGATGAAAAGTTTCGAAGAGAATCGATATTGTGTTACAAAAAAATAGACTCACAAATAATTATTTTTATAACAAAATTGATATCTTGTAGTACTAGAGAGTCAAAAAAAGATAGACACTGTGGCAAACTTTTCTTAGAGAGTTAAATTTTTTTTTCAATTTCAAGGAACAACAATTTCACCATACATAATTTTTGCGTTATATGTACGCAGATCACACAACGGAAACTGAATAAAGAATATTTATCCCTCAACGTACGAGCGAGTGTTGCGTTCTCAAAAAAGTACAAAGACGTGATTCGAACGTACGACCTCAGTGTTAGGGGTTGCATGCATAGGCCAACACTGCTCAATTATTATTTTTTTATGTAATAGGAGGCAAACGGCCAGGAGGCTCACCTGATGTTAAGTGATACCGCCGCCCATGGACACTCACAATGCCAGAAGGCTCTCAAGTGCGTTGCCGGCCTTTCAAGAATTGGTACGCTCTTTTCTTGAAGGACCCTAAGTCGAATTGGTTCGGAAATACTTTTGTGGGCAGCTGGTTCCACATAGTGGTGGTGCGCGGCAAAAACTGCCTTAGAAAACGCTCTGTTGTGGAACGACGGACGCCGAGGCGATACGAATGGTCAATATGACTTTTTTAATATTATGATTGAAAAATAGCACATAGGATAGTTTGTAAATTGTAATATACTATGTAAATCTCATCGCAGCCTTATATAAGGTGCTAAAACATGTACTTTAATGTAAACAAGTGTTATTTAATGAATCTCGTGCACCTTCAGAATATATAGAAACCCGCTAAAATTTATTTCCCGTCTAGACTTATAATTTACTGGAGACAATGTTGAAATAAATTCAAACTCAATACAAAAATAAACGTAGAATTTCTGAAGGTGCAATTTGCTAACCACTTGTTAAATTAGCACTAAAATTGTTAGTTTTAATTGTTAAAAGTGTATCTTTATGCATTTAGTTTAAGCTAGTAATTATAAGAATTGAAAATCTGTTTCCTTTGAAAGCCAATTCCAAAATTGAAAGTCATCTATTCTTTTGAAGTTTAAAATCTGATTAAATTTAATAGTTAATATTATAATTATAAATATATGTTTTTTAATTAAAAGTGAAATTGGTTTTCGAAAAAAGTTTATCAGATTGATTTAAATTATGATGCCATATATGTTTCCGTATTTTATATTATCTTTTCCCTTGTCAATGTCAGTTGTCCAAATCTTTGACTGTTTATATATGATCTATAGAGAATTCGGTATCTAGCTCTCAAATAGATATGTTCCTTTTATGTACCCATATATTTAAATATCATTTGCGAATGATTAAATTATGCATTTTTGAGTATGCCATATTAGATCAATGAAAATGGAGTTCTCCGCCATAGACAATAATAAACCATAGATGATAAATTGATGTTATTAAAAACAAGTATATTTCCATTTGAATATGTTGTGTTCACATGTAAATATTTAGTTTACTTTTGCGTCGGATTATAAGAAATAAAATATTTGTCTATATTTTTATTTTATTTTTAAATCCTCATACAAAAAATATACTACATTAATCCTATTTAATGTCTTAGTTTTTATTCAGTGAATTATGTTAAATATTTGTTTTTTCGAGTAGTGTCACTCTCTTACCTGAGGTCGTGGGTTCGATCCTCGGCTGTGCACCAATGGACTTTCTAATTTAAGATTAGTTCGAACGGTGAAGGAAAACTACGTGAAGAAACCGGCATGGCTTAGACCCAAACACTCGCGTGACCCTAGTTCCTAAAGTAGTATGTAGAAGCAAAGTCGACGACACAGGCTTATTGCGATTCTGTGTACGCTGGCGAGCGTGTTTCAAATGTCCTTACACTAATAAATGCATTCTCCAAATCTCTTGTCATTGGCTGACATTTATCATGTCACGAGAAATTGATAAATCAGTCATTCAGTGTCAGGTAGATGAAGTATATTTGGATTTTCACAAAGAAAATGCTTTCGAGTCGAGTAGATGGCGACATTCTTCTTCAAAAGTTAATCGCAGCTGGACCTGTTCTGGTTAAGTATTTTTCTAGTTACCTATCAAATCGTAAACAATATCTTAAATATGGACAATATATGTAGCAGCTATATCCAGTGGCGTAGCTACCTAGGGGCTAGGCGAGGCAGTGCCCCGGGGCCCTCAAGCTCAGGGGGCCCTCGAATCCTCACCAGAAATCTCGATCGTTCTGAACTTTTGGAAATTTCTCCCATTTTCAAAATAAATATGACAGGTGGCAACCCCACTTTAATCAAGACATTAATTTGAGAGAAATTCAAAAGTTATACCTAGGGAATTATCCTAAATTCTTTCTGTAGGTTGGCAGTGTTGAGTGTTGTCAATTTGACGGATAGCTTATATAATAAACCCTTGAATATTCTGTATTTCAATTCGCCAAACCTACAGCAAGTATGAATTGTAATTTATGTTGTTACTGTTAGGTTTAAAGACATTTATTTTCTCATTACAGACAATGGTCACTTACATGAGACTTATAGACTAAAATACAATTTATCACGTCGTGTTTAAGCGTCAAGGATCAATCATCGAAGTATAACTTGGGTGGACTGTCATTTGCGTAGGTAATTAGGATCACTCAGAAGATGGTCTTTTAGTTTAAGTTTAAATATTGCCAGGCTGTCTGCACTTTTTATATTTTGTGGTAGTCTATTGTACCGCAGCACTCCCCCAACGCTCAATGTTTTTCTACCGTTATTAGTTCTAAACTTCGGTATAATAAGATTGTGAGGGCGTCGTGAAGTGCGCTTCTGAATTTGGCTTATTTTAGTGAAAGTAATGTTAATGTGTATATGGTCATTTAGAATTTTGTAGATTAATAAGCTGGTATTGTACTGAAATAGTTGTTTAATATTCATGAGTTTTGTTTTACTGTAATTTTTTTGTGTAGAAGTTAAGTATTAATATTTTTATTACCTGCCCTGCACATAAAAGAGCTTAAGTAGCTTAGCATTTTTAAAGTATTTGTATATTTCATATTTTTATTTGATAAAACCTAATCAGTTTACATAGCATAGTGGGGCCCTATTTTTTAATTTGCCCCAGGGCCCTTGGTCACCTAGCTACGCCACTGGCTATATCCTACAAGTTCTGGTATTAGCCAGGGTTCAAATCTAGGACCGTTGCTATTTCTGATTGCGATTAACGATCTTCCAGTCCTAATATTTGCCGACGACGTTAAGATTTTTAAAGAAATTCGGACAAACACCGACTGTCAATGTCACTGGATTTAGATACTGCATTAGGGCCGATTTACATTATCTTAGTGTTTAGGAGAGTATTTTAGTACAAGTTGAAAGGCAAGTTCTTTAGTGCTTTAGTGCGTTGCGAGTGAACGTTTACATTTCTTCCAGTAGAGTATCATTATTCATTACAGCGCCACAATGAACGCGCAACGACGTCGGCAAATACGCTCTATTCTACGCAAAATACTAACTGTAGTTATGGAACAAATAGAAGACGAGATTTTATTCGAAATAAATAAACTAAATATGAATAATAAATAAAATAGCTTCTTTTAAGGCAGTGTATGACGAATGCCTAGCCTGTTTGTTTTTGTATAAATTGTTTTTAACGTTCCACAAACATTCGTGAACAATATATTCAGACACAAATTTGGTAGTTGTATCTTCCGACCATTTAGCCATCTTTAAAAATCAAAAAACACGCACGCGTTTCACGGCACTTGTGCACTCTCCTAAAGATTTTACTAAATTACGTGTTTACACACAACGAGGGAAGATCTCGGGGGTTGCGCGGGCGCGGGAGGGGTATCACTTGAAACAAAAATAAAAAGCGATTCTATTTTGATTCAACTTGAAAGTCAAGTAGAACCGTACTAAAGCAAGTAGCGTTTACATGTTTCAACTAAAGTACTATCCTAAAGCACTCTCCTAAACACTAAGATAATGTAAATCGACCTTTAGAGTGAATTAAATAAACTCCACTTTAACTATGACAAATGCGAAGCGATGACTTTTAGTGCCTCTTGGAATAAAATACTCTGTAACTATAGCATAGGATCTAAAGTTAGGCGCGTTGTAAGTCCGTGATCAGGGTGTTTTGTTTGTTCCAGATCTCTCGTTTGCGGAGAATATTCCAACTATTACAGATATCCTGATGAATTCCTGCGGAATTCATTGGGCCTCTCCGACACTGTAACTAGGGTGCTACTAGGTCCTCATAACCATTCAAATAATTAATTAAAATAAGTTTTTTTTTTAATTTAAATCTACGTGACTAATAATGTAAAATTCCTTAAGACAAATTTGCGCGCCATTGTGTGTGGCAGAATATGCGAACGATTTACGATTGTACCACCTTAACATTTTTGTTCCATATTCTTGCAATAAATAAATTATTATTATTACGGACTCGTATAACACATCGAAAGGGTACAAAGGAAGTTCCTTAGAACTTTATATAAAAGAAAGTACTTACTTTAGGGGATGTTAGGGTATGATTCACTAGAAATTCGTAGGAAATCGGCGCAAATAAAATCCGGTTTAAGTTAAATGAATAACGAAACGAAAAGGGCATGCTTCCCGGGAGATATGAGATTGTACATTCCGGATACTCATCACCGCTGCCATTCCCCGCTTTCTCTCGTAGCATAATAGTTAAAATGTTTGACGCTACAATGAAACACGCTTTGATTTTAAAACTTTATTTATAAATTATATAAAAGCAAGACGATAAAATAATTTAAATGCACAAGTTGGTACGTTCGAATATCGAAATATTACATATTTAAATAATACTCCATTTATATAAAAAATTTGCACTTCGAGAACAAGTCACATGGCGATTGACAAGGCACAGTGCAATACTTAGACCGCTGAGAACACTTTGGTTTGAAAAGATAATCCTTAGCCTTAATATCTTTGAGAAATATATATTTTAAGTTCACCTCGGCTTACAGGATTAATCATGGTGTTCATCTTGAGCTAACTCTTCCAGATCTTCTTGGTCGAATTCTGTGTCATCCTCAGCGGTGGCTTCCTGATACTGTTGGTATTCTGATACCAGGTCATTGACGTTGCTTTCGGCTTCACTGAACTCCATCTCGTCCATACCCTCACCGGTGTACCAATGCAAGAAAGCCTTGCGCCTGAACATAGCAGTGAATTGCTCCGATATTCTCTTGAACAGCTCTTGGATTGCGGTCGTGTTTCCGATGAAAGTTGACGACATTTTCAGTCCTTTAGGAGGAATATCACACACTGCAGTCTTTACGTTGTTCGGAATCCACTCGACGAAGAAACTGCTGTTTTTATTTTGTATTGACAGCATTTGTTCGTCGACCTCCTTCATGGACATGCGGCCACGGAAAATGGCGGCGACCGTGAGGTAGCGGCCATGTCGTGGGTCGCAGGCGGCCATCATATTCTTGGAATCGAACATCTGTTGGGTCAGCTCGGGTACGGTGAGGGCTCTGTATTGCTGGCTGCCGCGTGACGTGAGTGGTGCAAAGCCAGGCATAAAGAAGTGGAGACGAGGGAAGGGAACCATGTTCACGGCCAGCTTGCGGAGATCCGCATTCAGCTGACCTGGGAACCGCAGGCAGGTGGTCACGCCAGACATGGTGAGCGACACGAGATGGTTGAGGTCGCCATATGAGGGATTTGGGACTTTGAGGGTTCTGTAGCAAATATCGTACAGAGCTTCGTTGTCTATACAATATGTTTCATCAGTGTTCTCGACTAGTTGGTGGATGGAAAGGACTGCGTTGTACGGTTCTACTACTGTGTCTGATACTTTGGGCGAGGGGACAACTGAGTATGTGTTCATGATTCTGTCGGGGTATTCTTCTCTGATTTTGGAGATAAGAAGGGTACCCATACCGGATCCGGTACCACCACCGAGGGAGTGTGTGAGTTGGAACCCTTGAAGGCAGTCGCAGTTTTCGCACTCTTTGCGGACGACGTCTAAGACAGCGTCGACGAGCTCAGCGCCTTCTGTATAGTGACCCTTTGCCCAATTGTTGCCGGCGCCTGATTGGCCGAAGACGAAGTTGTCCGGGCGGAAAAGCTGACCGTATGCGCTGGAGCGGACGGCGTCCATGGTGCCTGGCTCCAGGTCGAGGAGGACGGCGCGTGGGACGTACTTGCCGCCATTCGCGGCCGACGCACCTGTAGTTAATAATAATAAAAAAGTAAATATCTAGTAGTTATTCAGAAAGTTTTCAATTTTATGTTGTATGTGGCCGAAATATAACAAATATTGTGCATTTTGTATCATTATACTTCCTTAAAAACATTGCTATATTTAAGCTGACAGGAAAAAGCTTAAGTTACGTTCTATCGTCACAAAATACAACCAAAACCGGCAATTTATTCGAACAATTGACTCAAAACGCACCTAATTACTGCATTAGCCTACGGTAACGCTACTCTCAAGTAGAAAATTACCGAAATTTCTGTAGGAATTAGTCTAATTGTACCGTCTGAGTCAGTGTACTGTTAAGATGCCCGGTCGTTGACCTTGTTATCGTAATTAACGATTTATTACTGCGGGTGCTTTTATTGTTCAACTTACGAAGCGTACTGCTGACAATGTGGTTTATGTACTTCACTAAAAGGTTGCTATGTAACTTTCGTTCAGTTCTAGCTATTATATGTGAGGCATCGAAATACATAGCAAAATGTGTATGTGAATAATTAATAGATACCCAGAAATAGGCTTGGCGTATGCCCCGTAGTTAGGACGGTTAACGGACCTCGTGGATATAGCCAAGATATACCACCTCGCCCGCCATTTTTTTTAAATGTCAATTTAAATTACTTAACGTATTTATGGTATTAAAACGTAGAGCAATCCTAATATCCGCCAAGAGTGATTTTGTATGGTGAAGTTAAATTAATTACAAGTCATTGTAAAACTTAATAAAAGATCAGTAACCATACAAAGAACCCATTTTTGGTTAAACCTTTCATAACCTAGTTCGAAACTTATCAGTTTGAATAAAAATCTCATTGCTAGAGGGCGCTACTATCGACTGGTGAGTATGAACGTCTCGCCTGGCTGGCCATGGCTACAGTTAGGTCATTATGCACAACTCTAGCGTTCAAGAACTAAAAATATATACTTATCTGTAATGAATAACTTTTCTATTTGAATCTTTCTAACAAAACAGTTAACAAAGCTAAATGTAATACATACGCTATAATATGTTATGTAAATGTTTAACTACACTTTTTTAAGGCTTTTTCAGTTTGAGGACTTACGTCCCTAACAAAGAGCTAAGCTGCAGTAATTCGTAAGCTAAATACTTAATATTGATCTGAGGGATAAGACGAATAATACGAATCTTAAATACTGTAGACCGCTCGAACACACTCGGCGTATTTTAGTTAAACGAAACTGTAATTAAACCTTATAAAAAAAGGTTAATTAATTTTCGATATAATAATTATATTTATAACGATCTATTTTAAATATCACAAACGTTTATATTTTTATTACTTGTTTTATCCCGTGCTTATTCTGTATAATTTGGATACTTACAAGTAGCCTCATTGTAGTAGACAGATAACCTCTCCAATTGCAGATCACTTGTGCCTTCGTAGACACCAGTGGTACTGATGCCGTGCTCCTCAGATATGATTTCCCAAAACTGAGAACAATGTTATACCATTAGGAAGGAAGGACAAACTGTTAAGGAAAACATATGTGCGTTTTGGAAAACAATAGTGTTATTGTAGACTGTGTTTGCACTGAATAAAACAGCAAAATTAACATATCTTTGAGCCTAATAATTGACGTCAATTATTTTCGTTTAGGATCACGATATAAAAGTTATTTCAAAGTGTCAAATGGATAAGTTAGGGAGCGTTCAATAATTACGTAACGAAATTTAGGGGGGGGGGGGTCCTATTGTAAAACATTAACTTTTCGACTTTCCAGTACTTTACAGCACATAATGGTAACTTTTAGGTATAAAGAGTCACTGGGTGGTCACGAAACGTTTTACTATTTGGTACAGGAAAACGTTATGGCGCGTAGTTGGTGGCTATAAATACTCTGTAAACATTTGTTACAGAAAAACGCTAAAAATTTAGACCACTTACACACTATTTGACATTGTTTCACTAATTGAATGCATAATAGACTAATTAACAGAAAAATACTCCAATGTGTTATATGGTTTGTAACTCGTCTTTAAGAGACTTGCTCTATTGCTAATTTTGTGCCTATATGAATATATTTGAGCAAATACAATTAATAATTCGGTTTTGGTAAGGTCCAATAGCGTTAACGATTCCGACTTCAATATTAAGTATAGCATACGCGAATCTAAAAACGATGGTGTGTGAAAATGTGTCTATGTCTGTCAAAATCTTATGCTATTTACATTAGAAATCACACAGAAGACGAAGGTCTCACGAAAATCCTAGAGCATCCAGTTTCCTCTGTAGAATGCGAGAACGACCCTGGAGTCAGTAACGCGGCTTTGTAGGAACTCCTCGAGGTGATTTTAGTGGGTTTTGCTCACCCAGTCCCTGAATACCACATACCCCATCTATCGGGGGCAGGGGATGCGCAAACGCATTTCCACCTCTGATATAAAAAAGAGCGTTGCTATTTGTTTACCAAATTCGATGTAGTTCTTTCAATAAAGAATCAAGATTGCTGTTGGGAGTTAATACAGGCGCGGATCAAGTATAATATTATTAGCACCAAGATCGTCCTTAGAATGTATAAACGCAAGATAAAATGATAGTACAAAAATTAAAAATATACCAATGGCCTAGTCCAGTATATATAGAAACAAACTATCTCACATTTTACTACACTAAAACATTAAACTGTTAGTAAAGAAAGACAAAAAAAATTCGTAAAGAAGTGTAGAAATAATACCAATTTAATTCTTCCTAAGCTGTTAAGTATAAGTGAAAGATATTGATCCCATTAAAAATAACGTAATGTTTTACCACAATAATAGAGATAAATCAGAATTAATTAAGAAAATGTGACATTTATTTCCTTTTTAATGTGGCTTGAAGAAGCCGGATTTCCTTCGAAACTTGATCATCCGGTGTCGCAGAGATTATGTTAAAACGTAGGCTAAGTACGGTATTTGTTACCATAGTTACAATTCGCAGATTCGGTCATACAATGCGCAGAGGTCATGAGAACTTGGAGAAACTGATCGTGGTTGGTAACACAGAAGGCGAAATACCACGTGGCCGTTCATCAACCAGATGGACCGATCAAGTGGAAGACTCATCGTCCTAACTATACACTGTCATAAGAGAAGCGCTGGACAAATACCAGTGGAAACAAATAGTCCGCTCCAGGTGCTTCATTGCTGGACGACGCTCAAACATTAGCTGCCAATTGAAGAGAGAGACCAAAAATAGTATTCAAATACAGGGGGTATTATTACTTATTACCAAAATAAATTGCCCAGTAGCAAGATTCAAAGGCCATAAAAGCAAAAATATATTTTTCGTATATAATAAAATTATTGTGTGGTAAAATTCTGTAATTGCACCATAAACAAATTCCTCATGGAATTATTTTCCTTGAATTTCAACAATATAATTTCATTTTGCTGACAATGTCAATAATAGCTGTGTGACATGAAAACAATTAGTTTTATAGCAAATGTAATTATTCACCTGTGTATCGTGTGTATTAATCAAAAATCAATTTCAACATACAGTAACCTGTACCTACAGCAGCTATGTAAAATAAATTTACACCCTCATAACATACAGTATATAACGTTCTAGAAAAGCAATATAAAAAAATATTTGATTAAGTCAAATATAATAAGTAAGACTTTTTAATTACAAAATGATATAAAATCTTAATTTTTTTAACCGAATAACAAAATCCCAAAACGTCGTTTTTCGTCGTTGTGTATTTTTTTGTAAGTTGACCGTTCTGGGTAGACTTTGGACTGAAAAGGCCGGTTAGGATACCCTATAATCTATATATATAAAAGTAATTATTAGTTTAAAATATTATTCAGAAGTATAATCTATTATTTATTTAGTTAAATTTTTTTTTATTGATTTTTAAATTATTTTTATTATTACTATGTAGGTTACGAAAATTTTAAATACTGTATATTTGATTGTTACGATTACTAATAAAATTTATACGGAAATATTGAATATATTTTTGTTCATTTTGGAGTCGAGTATATCTATATATATAAAAGAAAAATGGTTGAGAGGCCAACCTGCGCAAATGGTACCACCTTCGATGCGAAATTTTTCCTGGTTATGGCTTTTTATTCCAACTTCCGTTTCACGCTGTTTTACTTTTTAAAATTTATCCACACGGACTTCACCGCGGAAACATTCGGGGGAGGCTTCCTAGAACCTCTAAACGTCAACATCTGTTAAAAACTCGATTTTCGAAATATTTCAATTTTCTTAGCGGGAAGTTAAAAAGAAGAATAATAAAAATATGAAAAAAAATAAAATAATGAAACATAAAATTTATTTTAATTCGTCCAGCAAAGCGGGCGCGACACGGCTAGTTCTATATAAATGAATTTATTACGTGCCATTATTTCGTGACGTAGATGAGTAATAAATATTGATTTTAAACAATCGCATGCACATAATTCGTGTGGACCCGTTGACCGCTTTAACTATTATAGATAGAAAGATAGGCTTTTGTTATCCTTCCTGTCCAACTAAATACAATGAAATACAGTTATTTTTAAACTGTAAACTTACTTTAAACGTATGTGTTAGTACTTAACTATAAATTTTCAAGACAATGTTATGAAAACTGTATCGTAGCAATGCAATTCTCAGATTTCCGATAAATAAGTTAGGTTATATTGACATAAGTATTAGATTTTCAATTAGTTGTCGACACTGGGTTATTGGTTTGTTCCTGGTTAATTCCTGCAGCGGACCGAATGAAAATAGAGGCATTCGAGATGTGGTGGTATTGGAGGAGAATGTTGCGAATACCATGGACTGCAAAAAGAACCAAGAAGTCTATTTTAAACCAACTAGAGATCGCCACAAGACTCAACTGTCATTTAAAACGGATGCTTAGCTACTTTGGCCATATTGCCAGAAGAGATCCAAATAGTCTCGACAAACTGGTAATGGAGGGAGGAGTGGTGGCTGGAGAAGTCGGTGTCGATCGCCAACCCGTAGGTCTGACGAGAATTACGAGTCTCAACATCCCTTATGCCATAACAAGCTGAAGATAGAGTGGTGTAGAAGCTGCAAGTTGACGTATCGGTTAGGGCTTTTCAAGACAGGCCGGCTTTAGTAATGAAGACTCTGGGGCTTTGGATGGAGGCGTAGCGATTAAAATTATCTAAAAACCCTTAACCACTATATACCTTCATCACTTATAAGATAAAGGCTTTTTGTTTCAGATAGGAGCAATAAAATACATTTATTCTATGTAAAATTGTTCATTCCTTGTGTGTGCCCATTTTGGCAAAGGCCTCCACCAAATCTCGACATATCAGCACTGAGCCACTCTGCTTCATCACTTATGCACTTGGGGAAAATTGTGTTGGTATGATTAGGTACCTACTATTACTAAAGTAGATCAAGAACTGAATCCGCATTAGTGTCGAAGCGTTTAATTCTAATTTTGACCAATCCGAAGAACTTAGCTTCACTTTATGGTGATTGGCAGGTCACTCACTCAAGACATTCTTAACTCTCGGCAGATAAGTGAATTAATTCCATTCAATCTTGATCAATTTATCGTCAATTGTGGTCTTATTGTAAGTCTCGAAGACTTTCATTTCATAACTTTCAATTCTTCAAACATTTATAATAAAAAAACAACAAATATTTTGCGTCCGGATTATGTTAAGTTTTTGCGCATTCAAAATTTCAATTTCAGTCGGATAACTTTAAAACTATGACAGGATAATAGATTGCTATTAATTTTATGAATTTTACTAAATAATCAATAACGTAATAATAAAACCGATGCGTCATAAACAACCTAGACGCAGTGTCGCCTGCAATTAGGGGGAAACCAACCACAACTGGCCACAGTCTGGCGGGTGGGCGCGGCGCGGAAGAGGGCTGCGAGAGGCGCGGTTGCGGTGGATGCCACAGCCGACCAGTCGACCGCGGCGCCAAATAGAGATATTAGAGTTTTATTAGTCGTCCCACAATTTTTTTATACATGCCAATTTATGATGTGGATGTTTTGACATCCATATTGCTGGTCTACCAGATTCACTAATAAATGTTTGTATCCAATTTTATATGAGCTCAATGCGCGAAAAAACAAAATATTTGTTTTGGTCGCGCGATGCAAATGCGCCACCAATGCCGCGGCGCGCCGCTCTTAGTGTGGCCGCCTCGATACTCTTGAGTGCATTTGATTCACTCGCAGCCGCGCAGACCCCCGCCGCCGCCACCGCGCGGGGCCACCGCGCCGAGGCGCACCGCAATGCGCGCCGATAGCTGTGGCATACTTCATACAATTTTCTCAATTTGTTTTTGCCGCTCGCCGCTTTGGCGGTTTGGGGCAAACGGCGAGGGATGTGGCCAAGGGGTAACTGTATACTGGCAATTCCGGGAAATATCGATCAAAAGTAGCCATACAATGTTACATTTCCTGAAGTATCATTTATTAATAGGGTCTTAGTTAATAAAGGAAGGGGTAGTGCGTTTGTAATTGCGCAGTACACAATCTTTTTTGACACTAATTCGCTGCTTTAAGACGAATCTGCGAATCCTACCCGTGTCTACCAAATCAAAGCAATTACATGGGAATCGAACCAATGTTCTCCTAGTTATACTGACTACGTCCGTACGACGGAGGCGACAAAATTTTGTAAAAACATAAATATATTAAATTAAATAAACATAAAATATATTTATAATCTATGTTTAGAGGAACTAAGAAAATACGAAACGCTTCCTTAAATGAGTAGACCCAAGTCAAAAACACGAAGGAGGCTATATAATTTTTTTTCTATGTCCCGTAAAAGACAATATCCAATATGACCTCCTTTCTGAATTCCTTATAATTACTTCATGTTCCGTTTCCGACTAAAATCTCCTGCCTTTTTGCTTTATCCTTTATTGTATTATAATGTAAGATTTTCTTTCATAATCAATAATAAAATTAAGATGATATGTTTGTGTACATATTTTGTTTTTAACCAGCTTACCCCTTTATTTCCTTTTGATGTCTTTGTTTTTTTTTCCTCGCGTGTAATTTTTCAACCTTTTACTTGAAACTGGCATAAAGTTAAAACTATTGCCATAATATTTAATAGAAAAAAGACAAATCACAGATTATCAAAATTGATTTAATAATACCGGCAAACTAGCTCCAGTAATATATAAAACCACAGATTATAAAAATATATTTAATAATTATAGCATGAAAGACACAGACTTTGAATTAGTAAGATAACAATTTTAGTATGTGCAAATTAATATATCAACAACAATTAAGTGAATTATCAACTTTCATATAAGACAAATAATTTAGATTGACTGACAAGTTAGTAAAAGTATAATGCAACAATTTATTCCTTGCGTGTGAAAGAATATTTAAATGTCTCTACAAGAATATCACATTTTATAGAAAACAATTGTTTATTTAAACTTAAAAAACATAAATTATAAAGAAACAAAACAAAAAAATAAGTGAAACTTACTAATTTACGACACCTTTGTTTGAAAGTCTAAATAAACCATAATTCGTTTACAGGTTAAAGTTTTTCTTTGAAGAAGTCTGTTATTTCATTAAAACAATTATAGAAAAGGTTATATTATCTGAAACCTCCTTGTGTCAGACTTTTAAAAAGTGAACGCATTCTTTGTTGAGCTTATTCCGGAAACCGTGCATACTTTTGACAACTCAAACACGAATACAAAGCTCACAAATCCAAGTTATTTCTGTAAACCTCGGGAGACAGAAAAGCATTTCCTTTTTTGCCGGCGCCCGCCATCTTTATTCAAAATAGATTTTAGTTTTGTTGCATTGCGACTCGGCCATTCACTGCCTCTACAATTTATTTTTGATCTCGTCTTATTCATATCAGATTTTTACCCCCGGATTCTACTTTATTAAACCGAAAGGTTATCGTCATTAATTTCTAATACTGTTTAATATTAGAAAGTGTTAACGAAAATAAATGAAAAGAAGTGCGTGCCTACAAAACACATTCATAAGTGAAACTTCTTTGGCAGACTAATTTTGTCTTGTTCATATTTATACAAATCTATAACTTTAGATTTCCGAGAATTAGAGGGTGGGAAAGAAGAGGAAGGTATCTTAGGAATTTAATTGTCATTAAAATATTAAAAGTGTCGAATAATAATACAAATTATAAATTTATTTTTTTTAAATTTATTTCTTCGATAATAAAAACACGTGGCAATTTAATTTACAATTCGTCATTTGAGATTTCAAAAAATTATTTTGCATAAAATGTAATACATACTAATATTTCATAAATTCTCTTTAAGAAATTTTAATTTTAAAAATAGAAGTTCTAGAATGTAATTCGCCCTTCTCACAATCGGTCTCAATCGCTCTTTCCCTTTTAATCGAGAAAAACGCTGCACATCTTCGTGACGCTAATATTATTATTGCGTTTCATCCTTACAAATTTTAACCTTATGCGCCTAAAGAAGTTTCACTTCAATATGCATATCTTCCACAAAATAAGTACAAATATCTATTTTTCTCTCTTCAGTCGGTCGTGTCTAAGCGTCGTGGTCAGCAAAGAAACATCTAGAGCAGACAATCTATTTCCACCGGTTTCTGTCCAGCGCCTCTTTTATTACAGTATACAGTTTTGAGGACAATTGTGTCTTTCACTTGATCGGTCCATCTGGTTGGTGAACGGCCAAGTAATCTTTTGCATTCTGTGTTACTAACCACGATCAGTTTATTCAAATTCTCATCGCCTCTGCGCATTGTTTGCCCGAAACTTGATATTATTCATTCTCTAGATAAGATAATTAGAAGTTATAATTAGCAAGTTTTTTTTCGTGACAAAAAGGTTACATATGTTAGATACTACATGGGTAACAAGAAAAAATGGCAAATCATTATTTTAATTAAAAAAAAGGTTATTAAAATTTAAATCAGTTTTTTGCGGATTGTAATCTAAGTGTTTCGTTGCACTTTTTTGTCCTACTTCGTAACCAATTTAACCTTGTTTCAAAATGTATCGAGTTTCAATCTCTAGGAAGTGTATTTATTACATAACTTTGCCAGTCTGATACGCCTAACTTGCTTTGTTAATAAGAGGCTATGACGTACGCGTAACAAACATAAGTGATCGCTATGGTCACGCCATTTTTTTTTTTTTGGATAACGACCTCTACCACCAGGTAGACCTAGCACTGGTTGCCCAAAAATCATACTAGGGACTGCAGAACGAAATGCGCTCATGGATAAACCTTTAGAGGATTCGGATACGAGGACAAAATAAAAGGCAAGCTCACTTCATGTACTCATAATCATGTAATTGCACTGGATTTTTTTTAAGGTGGCAAACGGGAGACACCCGATTTTAATTAATACAGCCGCCCATGGACACATTGACAAAAGGCTCGCTAGTACGTTGCCCTTTTAAGAATTGGTACGCTCTCTTCTTACAGGACTCTAAGTCAAATTGGTCGGAAATATTTCAACACAATCTATAGTAGTCTGTACAATGCAATCCGCATTTGTTTTAGTACAAAACTTTTTGCTTAATCTCTGGTAATTAGTACTCCTATGATTTATCATAATACAGAAAGTTTCTGAGATGTTTACGAGCACGAATTAGGTTTAATATAATTTGCATAAATTTTATAGTAATACTTTTACAAAAATGTGATTTTAAAACTAAATAAATACTTCGTATTATTTCAGTCCTAAAGACTTTTAATCGCTTGGTCAACTGTGTTCTTTGCGTCATCGCCATCTGGCAGTCTGTTTATATTACACTTCCTAAGGTAAAGCATATGTTTCTAATCATTCATTAGAGTTAAATTTAATTAGTCTTAGGATGTTCCCGTCGATAAAACCTATTCAATTTTGTATGTTACCGTAAAAATTTCCCAAGTTAAATATTTAAAAAAAAAAAAAAAAAGAAAACTATGTAGAAACAAATTATTATATATTTAGTGAATAAATCAATGTACAACTTTACATACGTATACGTAAAAGTATTAATTCCGATAGAATATTTGACATACGTTTCCTACTTGTAAAGGAATAATTTCCGTTCTCATAGAATCTGTGGTTAAAAAAACAAAGCCGGATATTGATCGCAACCACAGACTAATGCCAAGAAAAATTTAACTTCCTGCGGTAAGTACAAATTAGAAAAATGTTTCATCATGAAAATACTATAGCACTTAT